TCCATGTATATGTATATCTATGTACAAGACGTTCAACAACTCCTGCTCTGTAAAATGGACATTTTTCAAGAATTCACTTTCTGTTTCACCACGTTCTCTATCTTCCACATCCTTCTCCACTGTAAACACTGATGCAAAATGCTCATTTAGTATCTCCCTCTTCTCCTGCGGTTCCACACCTGGCAGCCTTGATCTTCAAGGGGCCCTATTGTTCTCTCTAGTTACCCTATTGCCCTCAATTTATTTATAAAATCCCTTTGGATTCTCTTTAACCCTATTTGTCAAAGCTATCTGATATCCCCTTTTTGCCCTCCTGATTTCTCTCTTAAGTATACTTCTTTTGCCTTTATACTGTTCTAAGGATTCACTCGATCTCTGTCGTTTATACCTGACATGTGCTTCCTCTTTTTCTCGGCTAAAACCTCAATTTCTCAGTCATCCAGCATTCCCTACGCCTACCAGCCTTGCCCTTCACCCTCACAGGAACATACGGCCCCTCAAGTCTCATTATTTCTTTTTTGAAAGTGTCTCATTTTCCAACCATCTCTTTACCTGCAATCATCCACCCCCACTCAACCTTTGAAAGTTTTTTGCCTAATACAGTCAAAATTGGCCTTCCTCCAATTTAGAACTTTAACGTTTCGATCCTGTCTATCCTTTTCCATCACATTTTTAAAACTGATAGAATTATGGTCGCTGGCCCCAAAGTGCTCCCCTACCAACACCTCAGTCAATCTCTGTCTTATTTCCCAAGAGTAGGTCAAGTTTTGCACCTTCTCTAGCAGGTACACGCACATACTGAATTGGAAAATTTTCTTGTACATGCTTAACAAAGTCCTCTCCATTCAAGGCTATGATACTATGGCAGTCCCATTCTATGTTTGGAAAGTTAAAATCCCCTACTATAACCACCGTATTATTCTTACAGATAACTGAGATCTCCTTACAGATTTGTTTCTTAATTTCTTACTGACTGTTCAGGGTTTAGGGGGATTATCTATAAGCAATGACCATAAGGTGATCACTCCTTTCTTATTTCTCAGTTCCACCCAAATAACTTCCCTGAACATATTCCCAGGAATATCCTCCCTAAATACAGTCGTAATGTTATCCCTAATCAAAATGGCCAGTCCCCATCCTGTCTTGACCCCCCCCTCCCCTTTCTATCCTTCCTATGTCATCGATACACTGGAACATTAAGATGTCAGTCCTATCCAAACCTGAGCCATGTCTCTGTAATTGCTATGAACTCCAGTTCCATGTTCCCAACCATGCCCTGAGACCATCTGCCTTACCTGTTTTGTCTCTTGCAATGAAATAAATGCAGTTTATTTTATCAGCCCTACCTCGTTCTCTGCTTTGTTCCTGCCTGCTCTGACTGTTTGACTTGTACCTTTTCCCAACTGAACAAGTCTCAGACTGATCTCTTTCCTCACGGTTTCCCTGGGCCCCACACTTCCATGACCCCACCACCACTAGTTTGAATCCTCCCGAGCAGCTGTAACAAATCTCACCATCAGTTTATTAGTCCCCTTGCAATTCAGTCGCAATCCATCCTTCTTATGCAGAGATTCCGATGATCCAAAGGTGTGAATCCTCCTCCCCTGCACCAGCTCCTCAGCCACGTGTTCATCTGCTCCATCCTCCTATTCCTACCCTCACTAGGAGTAATGCAAATATTACTACCCTCGAGGAGCTCTTTTTCAAATTCCTGCCTAACTTCCTATATTCTCTCCTAAGAATCTCATCCTTTTCTCTTCCCATGTCATTAGTTCCAGTGTGTACAATGACCTCCTGCTGGTCCTTCTCCCCTTTCAGAATGTTCTGCACACTCTTGGAGATATCCTTTATCCTGACACCAATGAGGCAATGCACCATTCTGATTTCTTGCTGTTGGGCACAGAAACATCTGTCTGTCCCTCTGACTGGAGAGTCCCCTATCAAAATCAATTGCTTGGAACCTGATGTACCCCTTGTTATATTAGAGCCAGTCTCAGTACCAGAAACCTGGCTGTCAGTGCAACATTCCTCTGAGAGGTTGAGTCTTTTTCAGTCCTGTACGTTCCTAAATTAGTATCTTCACACCACCAACATGTAAATGTAACTGTAAGAAAATGAACTCAATACATGCCTGAATTCAATCATAAGATTAAAATCAAACTAGGTAACTCAAATACTCGAGGAAATTTATCTCTAATGATGCCTTTTGCTCAGGGCATAGATAGAAGAAATGAAAACGACGGACATCTTGCATTGCAACTTGATTTCTGCCTCCAGTGTTCTGAACATTTTCCAGGTTGTTATGAGGGTCTATTATTTGAGTTAAACTGTTCAACTGAAATGATCACTTGAAAATTTGTACTACATGTTGTTTGGTCACTTTATGAGAGTTATTTTGCACGTAACCCTTTGGCTATAATTACTCATCCTGATTTTAAAAAGCTCCATTTTTGTTGTTAGATTCAGATTTAGATTTTATTGTCACGTTCACTGAAGTGCAGAAGGCCAGTGATAAGTGTATAATGCTGTCATACATGCGCCATCTTAGGCACAAAGGTACAAAAAACTTCGTAAAAGAAGCAAAAGAAACAAAGCTAAAAAAAGTTAAGCATTATCTTCATAGAATAAGTAGCAAAATTAACGAAAGGTAATATCAACATTAAAGCCTTCTTAATATAAACTAGAAAAATAAAGGAAAAAGTTCGACAGTCTTTGAGTCGTCCACCTTAGGTCACTCGCCGGGAGACCACAGTTGCCTGTTCTCGACACTGCTGCAGGTACTGGGGAACCTCCTTCACCTCTCGCTCTTCCCGTGTTGGGCTGCAACTCCATCGCCGCTGCTGCTGCTGCCGCTGAATCTGCAACCTCCCCAACCTTCACCTGCTGCCTCTGGAACGCGTCCGGATAGGACCCACTTACATGCTGAGATACTGCCACGCCGGGCCAAGAGACCACCCCACCAGCTATCAGGAAACTGGGCTGAGGCACCGCCATGCCGGTCAGAGAGACAACCATGGGCCACCAAGATGCTGCGCCAAGATACTACCATGCGCTGCTGAGAGACCTGGGCCGAGAGACCACCATAGACCAGACTGGGCCAAGAGGATACCTCACCGGGTCCACACTGAGGCCGGGAGTGAAGAAATGAAAAATCAAGAGAGAAAATAAATTGCAAGTAGCTGACAAGCTCTGGCTGAAGCATCCTATCTGCCGCCATCTCTAGTTGTTGAGACTCCCTTCAGGATAGGGTTTGTGCTTGTAGTTTAATCGGCATTGGAATGCTGGCAGCAGTCGAAGTTAGGACCTGTTGCTGCTTTATTCTTTTTTTCAAAAACTTATTGTGCCCCAGTGTGTACTAAATTGTTTTCAACGTAATATAACAACCTTATATGCCTATGTACTTACTGTCTCGTTTTTATGTTTCAATTCCAAAGTCCACTGTTGTCATCAAAATTGCAGATTTAAAGTATCACGTGCAATTACACCCTCCTACTATTATGAATGATAAACTGTGTCAGTCTTGCGTCTCCCTGCCCTTCAGCTGGTGTTATTTAGAAACCAGTGTGATCCAAAAATCTCTGTTTCTCAAATTGAAATTTGCTTTGCTGCTGAGCCGAAAGTGAGAATATCAACTCATAAAATACACATTCTGGAAATTCAAGGACACTGTACCTTTCATTAAGACACTGCCTGGATTTCATCAAATTATCCCTCCTAACTCCAACCATACTGTGCATGAAGAATAACCTTGATTTGGAATCCTTGTGTGCAATACTCAAAGATTTCATTAGTGGAATTGTATAACATAATGTTTTTATATTTATTCTACAGCAGATTAAGCGTTTGCAAATTAGAGTCATAGTTTTTTTTAAAATTCTCTCTGGCCCACTAAGACACATGCACAGTAAACAAAATTGAAACCTTTTAAGTTCTTGGCGACAGAAGAATTAATCAGCAACCAGTGAGTGTCATCTGTTTCAAAACCAATGTGCCAATAGTTTGTATATCTTAATTTGTAAAAGAATTGGACAGTAAGTGGTGTAGTGAGGGATGACATTATCATTTCACCTCGGGGAGCCTGCAATTCAAACAGGGACTGATAGTAGTAAAGTTTTCACTGTTTACTATCTTTAAGTAAAGTAAGGGAAATAGAAGTTAAATATTCTCAATGGTATGAATTTGATTGTCAAAAAATAGCCTATACTTCTGACATTAAACTAAGATTATCTGACAGGATAATTGTCAGGTGAAATGGGAATGTTACAAAAGGGTTGCTGTTAAACAACTTGTTAAAAATGGGTAAAGGTAGCTTTACCCTGACCTGGCAGTTCTTTACACTGACAGGGACTGATAAATGTATGAATTTAGTCTAGTCTCTGCTCTGACACTAATCACCTTCAGTATGAAAATCTATTGCTTCGGCTCCAAACAAAACAGCTGTAAAACTACAGTAATAATCATGATATGTATTCTGCTGAATTGTAAATCCTCTTTTGCACTTAATGACTCTTCAACATCAAGAGATTACTTTTGTTTTATTTGCACTAAACATTGTATGGTGGTATAAACTCTTACTCCTTGCTGTTTCCATTATTTTGACACACCTTTGTGACAATTTGTTTACTGCGAAGTATCTTCTGCAGTCCAACCAAAAATGCAAGTGTTGTATGCTCTTTTACAAAAGTTTATTTTACTTTGCATACTTTGGTTCAGTTATCCATTACCATCTAATCTCTTAACTAAACTTGGTATTGATTTCAGCACCCAAGAGATTGCTTAAGTGTACATCACACAGGTGCAAAGCAGAAGTTAATTTTTTAATTAACTGCAATCAGATTAGGAATAAAGATGTTTCTCTGAGTGTGTCACTGGTGGTTACTATTCTTGAAGAACTGTGATCTGCGTGTACAATTGGAGGAGATAATAATGACAGAGCAGCTAGCATTTTATTCCAGCAGAGGTGAACTTGAATTCATTCTTTTCCTTTCTTTCTTCTCTAGTTCCAAGCCAGCCAAATAACTTCAAAGCAGAACCGAAATCAGACACCAGTATTATGCTGTCATGGATACCACCACGACAGGACACTATCATCAGATATGAATTGTATTACAGGGAAGGAGAATATGGAAAAGAGGTATAGTGCAATATGCAATATAAACTAACTGCAAAAATTAAGGTGCTTGTTTTCATCCAATTGGCAGTCTTATCTGGACATACGTGTTGGTATCCTTATTCTGACATTCAATAAGGCATTTACAAGTTCCTCACTCAAGGTAAAACCTGGATTCCATTCCAGTGATTAGACTGTCAGTGCTTGATGGTACGCTATGGAGTACATGTGAGAGGTGTCATGTAGATTCCCTAACGTTCACTGAAGTTACTACCAATGTGCAGTCGAAGCAAATAGTCGAGCAAGTGCAAGCAGTGATTGTGTCAATTGCAGCTGAGGTGTTTAACCCATTCTTAAACTTATTCTCCCAACTAGCAAAGAGGCCATCATACTAATCTGTCTAAAGGAGGATTAACAATTTTGGGTCCTTTGAAAGTCTGGGAGAGATTGCTATCAGGAGCAGTTTCATCCAGAGAAAATCTCCATGTTTACAAAGAGAGCTCAACAAACAGGAATATTTTGAGTTCGTATTATGATGGGAATTTCCCCAACTCTTCAATAAGTTGGATTGCGTGTTTGGAAATGGTAACCCAAAGAATGAAGGCTGCTGTACCTTTTGCAAAGCACTTTTTCTGAATTTGATAGTGTTTGTTTTGCAGTGAATGGTGTGCACCATCTTTTCCATATATCTTCTTGCATCTCAGGCTGTTTTATGGATATAGTCCGCTGAAGCAAAAATAGGATAAGGTGAGCACCAGATCAGTAGGCTATTGCTGTGAGCTGGCCACGATGAAATAGGTGATAGGATCACACATCCAAATGTTCACCCTCCTCTATAAACAGATGGGCAGCATCTCTCAGCACCATGAACTTGACATATTAACAAAACCTTAGCCTTACTGCTCTGTTGCTCTGTAAAAGGGTGCTCTTTTGTATTGCCAGACTTGATGAATATGCCTGTTTCTGTGTATATGGAACGATTCTGCCAAATTTATTTCTTCACTGAAGCTCCTCACCATTGTCAATCTTTCCTGTTCACTGATTATTGAAGAATGAATTGTTTGTTCTCACAATATGTTAAATAGTCGCAAAATTAACTTGTGTAATAAAACTGTTAAACAGTACAGGAGTAACTTTCCAATTTGTTTACGAATAGTCATTTATGGAAAGGACCACATGACATTTACTTACATTAAATCAGTGTGACAAGAATTGGATAAAGCTAAAATAGGGGAGTGAGTGCTGTATAAAATTTTAGCAAAATAATACTGGGGTACACTGTGTATGGGTTTGCTGACTACCCAGCGGCTTGGTCAGAAGGAAAGCTCTCTGTGATGCCTGAGCACAAAACCCAGATTGGTGTGCTGAAAATTTTTCATAGAGTCCCCATAGTTTGGAAGCAGGCTATTCAGCCCATTGAGTCCATTCCAATCTTCCAAAGAGCATTCCTTCCTGACCCACCCCTCCAACCCTATCCCTGTAACCCTGCATTTCCCATGGCTAATCCACCTAACTTGTACCTCCCTGGACACTGTGGACAATTTAGCATGGCCAATCCATCTAACGTGCACATCTTTGGACTGTGGGAGGAAACTAGAGCACTCAGAGAAAACCTACACAGACAAGGGGAGAATGTGCAAACTCCACACAGTTACCCAAGGGTAGAATTGAACTTGGGTCCCTGGTGCTGTGAGGCAGCAGTGCTAACTACGAGAGCCACTATGCCGCATTGTAAAGATTTTGTGAGAAATTAGTTTGGCTGCTGTCTGTCTCAGCCCCATGAAGTGTACTGCTCCCAGAAAAGAATTGAACCTGAATGAGCATCTCTGCTTTCAAGTTGGGAATGTCAATTACACGGAACAAAGGGAGCTTTGCTTGCAGCTATTTTGGGAATGTATGATGCTGAATCTGCGCATCTCAGATATTGTGTTTACTGTCATCAGCACAGAAATTCACCATTTACTTTGAGTTTTCATTGAAGTTTTTAGGAAAGCTTGTGTACATAATTTCAAGTGTATTTGTCAATTTGATGTCTTATTAATATTTGATTCTATCTGTTGAGTATCTGATTCTCTATGTGCAGATATGCAGGTTCAGTTTTACAGCTGCCACAATGGTTTCATCTTGCTCCTTATCCTGTTTTGCACCACAAGCATGTTCTCTAATTGTCTTTTCCTTCCACAGCAACTTGTCACATTTGAACCAAAGACAACATATCTTTTAGAGGATTTGAAACCAAACACTATGTACTTCTTCCGACTTGCTGCTCGCTCTGAGCATGGCCTTGGAGCTTCAACTGCGCAGATTTCAGCCCAAACCATGGAGACTAGTAGGTTTTCTTCTGTTGACTAATGGATGAATGTTGGGGTGCTTGTTAGTCTGGTGGGGAGGTCTATCCCTGATATCTAATAGCTGACTGCATGCAGCAGGCAGTATTGTAATGAAACAGTTAGGCTTTGTTAGATCAAGAAAAACGTAGATTGAGAAGGTTTAGATTCCACACTGATGGGATCAGACTGTTAGCCTTAACATTGACTAACAAGCACTTTAAGTGGAGAATAGGAACTTTTGTAGTTAGTTGACCTTTCTTGTTTCATTGTTTTGAACATGGTTTCTACATTAAGTGTATTACATGTACTTCAAAAGTGCCAACAAATTGGACCCCAGTTTCTTAGAATGTGCCTTTTTGATTTTTAAACTGGTTCTAGTTAGAAGACAGGTAATGACATTTCTAATGATCAAAATTAATAACATAGTCCATTGTTTGTTTTATAAGAACTTGTCATTCATCTTGTTTCTTTGTAAAAATTTTGAGAGGATAATGATCTGCATGGAATGATGGGAAAACTTGTAAAGGTCAGCCAACTACAAAATGATCTATTATATTTTAAGTGTCATTATTTTCAATAATGTTCTAAAGGTCAAATGACAAGATGATGTGCAATACTTGATGAAATAGTAATTATATTTCAGATTTAAAATTATTTCCAGTTGCTTTGACTGTAATTGTAATACCAGTCCCAGAAAATGTTCTCTGATAGGGTTGATTTTTAAGTAGATTTCTTGATACATGTTGGACCTGCAGGTCAATGCAGAGTTCATCCTCATCCATTTGGACCTATGAAATTAAACCTGGGAGAAAACATTTTATCATTCATTGATATTTTTCACACTGTATACTGTTACAACACTGGCATTTACCCGACAATGTGGAAAATTGCCCAGTTATGTCCTGCAAACACAACGCAGGACAAAATCCAACCCAGCCAATTTCTGCCTTACCAGTCTACTCTTAATCATTCATAAAATGATGGAAAGTGTCATCAACAGTGCGGTCACGCAGCTGTTACTCAGCAATAACCCGCTCAGTGACACCCAGTTTGGGTTCTGCCAGGGCCACTCGGCTCCGGACCTCTTTACAGCCTTATTCAAACATGGACAAAGGAGCTGAATTCCAAAGAAAAGGTGAGAAAGACTGCTCTTGATATCAAGACTGCAGGTGACTGAGCATAGCATCAAGGAGCGGTAGCAAAACTAGAATTAATGGGTATAAAGGGCAAACTCACTGCTGATTGGAGTCATTCCTGGCATTTAGAAAGATGGCTGTGGTTGTTGTAGGTCAGTCATCTCAGCCCCAGGACATCTCTGCAGGAGTTCCTGTCAGGGTAGTGTCCTAGGCTCAGCCATTTTTAGCTGCTTCATCAAGGACAGTCCCTCCACCTTAAGGTCAGAAGTGGAGACATTCATCAATGATTGCACAATGTTCAGCACCATTCACAACTCCTCGGGTACCGAAGCAGTCCATATTCAAATGCAGTAAGATCTGGACAATATCCAGGCTTGGGTGAAAAGTGACACTCACACCACACAGACCTTAGGCAATGATCATCTCCAGTAAGAGACAATCTAACCACTGCCCCTTGACATTCAGTGGTGTTGCCATCACTGAAACCCAGACTATCAACATCCTGGGGGTTACCATTGACCAGAAACTCAAATAGACTCGCTGTATAAACACAGTGGCTACAAGAGCAAGTCAGTAGCTAAGAATACTGCGCCGACTAGCTCACAACCTGATTCCCTAAATGCTCTCCACCATCTGCAAGACACAATTCAGAAGATGGTTGAAAAATTCACTACTTGCCTGGATGAATGCAACACTTCAGAAAATTCACACCATCCAAAAAAAAGCAGCCTGCTTGATTGGCACCACATCCACAAGGATCCACCCCTTCCACCAACTGATTCTCAGCAGCAGTGGTATTATCTACAAGATACTCTGCAGAAATTCACCAAACAGCACCTTCCAAACCCACGACCGCTTACACCAACAAGGGCAAAGGCAGCAGATACATGGGAACACCACCACCACCTGCAGTGTTGCTTTCCAAACCACTTCCATCCTGACTTAGAAATTTATTGCCAATCCTTTGCTGTTGCTGGGTCAAAATCCTGGAATTCCCTCCTTCAGGGCTTAGTGGGTCAACCTGCAGCACATGGACAGCAGCAGTTCAAGAAGGCAGCTCACCATCACCTCAAGGGCAACTACAGATGGGCAATAAATGCTGGCCAGCCAGCTATGTCCTTGTCCCATGAGTAAATATAAAAGAAAATAAAATTGGAATCAGCACTAAGGATAATTTCAAATCTAGCTATTGATGATATTTTGGTTAGACAATGATAATATGTTTCCCCTGCATTACTCGGGGGAGGGGTGTGTAGCAGGGGAGGAGCAGTTCCACTGAAAGAAGTGTAACAATTTAAAGCTTTAAAGACTGCTCAGAGTAGTAGTTAATTTTGAGATGAGTTTTCCCAGGCAAGAGGAGGCATATTGGAGGTTTGTAACAGAAGTTAAATTTGCAAAAGGGGATGTCATACCAGGATGCTGACAACTCCATCCCAATTCCAGATTTCACCCAGGCCATAATTGATATTTTTCTTAACCAACTGTTAAAAATATTATGACACGCCTCTGGAGCAGCTGTGACTTGAATCCAGGCCTTCCAGCTCCCAGAGCAAGTTTGAAGACAAGTGGGGAAACACCCTTGCAGCTTGCCTGGTAAGAAACACCCTAATTGACAATTTAGTAATTAATTGAGCATTCTGGCTTCAACAGCAGACAGATCTGTATCATGAGCTGTCAATAACGCATCAGAATCAACTGTGCAAGTACATAGTGAAACTGACATGCCAGGAAACTGAAGAACTCCAGCCATGACAGGTGAGGGACTGCTGCTCACAGCACTCCTTCTTTCCCATTTACTTTGGTACTCCTAGTTTCCTAAAAATAGGAAAGTTACCAGAGGAAAATTCAGGTCCTTTTTATTCACTAATCAGAGTGCGAGAAAATGGGAGGGAGTCACAGGCTGAAAGTCCTGTATCAACTCCTGTTACATTTAGCAAGTAGCTCACCTGTCCTCTCTTAGCTTCAACAAAGCAGTTATAAAAAGTTACTCCATAATTAAGAATTAAATAAAGATGCTAAGTATTCAGGGCAGTGTTTAAAAGTTCAGAACCTTTGCATTATGCTGTCTTTTTGATACATTTGTTATTTGCAAAACAAGGAGCTTGCCCTGTAAAAACATAAGACAGCCTGTTCACAGACATTCCTTTGAACCTGTATGCGAAGAAAATCCTATCATATCAATCAATCTGGCAGGGTGTTATCCAAATCTGAAAGTGACTTGATCTCAGCAGCACAATTACCATTGTGTTCCCTGGAAGTATGATCATTCCTGATTGTACAGAACCAAAACCTTCACTTCCGTTCCTGAACGACCAGTGCTTTACTCGAGCAGTTAAATGACACAGCATGAAGACCTGTTTTCACACCAAATGGAGAACATCTATCCACAATGTTGTGTACAAAAGAGTTATGGCTTGCAAAATGGCAAGCGAAGAAAAGCAGCAAATGGCTCTTGGGGTCCTACCTCTATTCAGAGAGTCTATACAGCTTCCTCTTTTCTTTTCCAGCTTTTCATTTTGAATGCCTTGATTATATCCAAAATGGGAGTAATTTCAGCCCCAATTTAATTTTATACCACCTGCACTTTACATCACTCATTAATGGAATATGCCTGTTCTCCCTTATCAATAGAGATACTCACTGCAGCAAGCAGGTGGGAAATAAACTAAGAGTGCTTGGCTTTCATTTGGATCCTACTTAAATCATGTTGATAGTAGAAACATTTTGGGAATAAATTTTGTCCCTATTACAGTGTGAAAAAGGACCACAGGAGAGCACTGGAAACTTCTTCCTCTGTGGTGTACAGTTTTACATATTCTGTGATGTATTACACGAGCTGAAATTGAGCTGTCACTCAAATAAAAAATGCCATGCGACTGGCATCATACTTCCCATGAAAATGGATGTAAGACGACCCATTGTTCAACAAGCATATAGCAACACTTGTTACTTGACCTTTAAGAAACAAAGCAGGGTGCACATGACACCCATTGGTAGCAGGTGGGTGCCATGTACAGACAGTAAACAGGCCTCTCTGTGTGTGGTAGGTAGGTACCCTGATATTTCACTTAGATTTTTTTCTTTGGAATGTAGAAATATTTGTAACAACTATAGAAGCTAAAGAGTCCCACTGTTTGCAGCTGTTCAAGAAGGGTAGGTAATAAAAGAAAAGGATTAGAGGAATTAAAGAAATGTACATGATGTAAGAACTATAATTAAAGGTAGGTAATATTACTTGTAGGCTCCATTTTTCAGAATTTTATTTTCCTTACCATCACCCCATTTTCTAACTTCATGGTATACAATAAATTATTTTTAAGTTTTCTTTAATTTGGCCACTCTAAGCCAAGGTGTCATATTTAATTTATGGAAACCTGTTTTATTTTATGATTTTATTTTCTTTTTAAGTTGTTGGATCTGCTCTCATTTGTATTTTATTTACTTTTTTTTATATTTTCTTTCGCAATTCCCTCACCTTTTTCACTGTTACTTGACCCAACTTCCAAAAAAAAAATTAGAACCATCAGCCCCACCTCAGGATATCAAGTGCATGAGCCCAAGCTCGACCAGCATTTTGGTAAGTTGGCTGCCCCCACCAGCAGACAACCAGAACGGCATCATCACCAAATACACCATCAAATATACTGCCAATGACCAAGAAGCCAGCTCGCCCAACGAAGTCTCGGATATTCCGCCAGATACCAGGCAGTACTTACTGGAACATTTGGAAAAATGGACTGAGTACCGCATCATTATGACTGCCCACACGGATGTTGGACCAGGCCCAGAGAGCTCTCCCATACTGATTCGCACAGATGAGGATGGTATGTTGGCTGAACACAACCAATCGGCAATTTTCTCGGAAAAAAATCTTCCTTCCCTTTGCCGACACTCTGCACCTTTCTGTAACTGTTGTGTCTAGTCCTCTGTTCCACTGAATCTTGCCCCACCACCCTCTCTCTGTTTCTTTTTTTTGAACGACAGCTGCGGAACCCTCCCCACCCATCAGTTATTGCACCGCAAAATTGCTTGTATTCCACGTTTCCCCTGTCTGATGTTTTTTCTTCCCTCACTACTTTATGTATTCTAATACATGGTATATAATTATTATAATAATAACAATAATAATAATAATATGTAGAATATTGCTAACATTGCACCCCACCCCTAACCTCCTCCACTCCAACAGTATCCTTTTCAATTACTTTTGTATGACATAAATCATCCAACATTTTTCTCTGTGCACCGCATTTCACAGAAACATACGTGCATTTTTTTTTGTCTGGATTTCATAAGATGTTGGTCAGTGAAAAGCCAACTTTTCTGGAACAGAGACCCGACAGTCGCTGTTATTTTTTTTCTACAACAAATATCTTTTTGGAATCATTATTTTTACAAATCAGATATTAAAAACAAATCTTGCATTTTGTGATGCTTTGACCTTCAAAGCATTATCCTTGGCTGCCTTTTATTCTCTGTTTTTAGTATTTGTACCTTTTCCTCCATGTTTTTCACCTTTTTCCACATTTTTGGTGTTTTAGGAAGATGCAGCTCAGGCATTTTTTCAGCTTATGAAGCTTTTTTTTGGACAGAGTTTCCTATGTCCGTTTTGAACATTAGTGAGTCTGCCCTTGTGCTGCTGTTCAGGATGAGACAGGGCGCCTTCAATATTTTTTTCTTTTAACCAAATGGTATTCTTCCAGTTCCTAGTGGTCCTCCTCGCAAAGTCGAGGTAGAGGCTTTGAACTCAACAGCTATTATAGTGTCATGGCGCTCGCCTGTTCCAAATAAACAGCACGGACAAATACGTGGCTACCAGGTCCATTTCGTGAGGATGGAACATGGAGAACCGAGAGGACAGCCCATGCTCAAAGATATCATGCTGGCAGATGCGCAGGTACGCTGTTTAAAAGAGTGATGTTGAAATAGTGACTTTACATTCTCAATGTTTCATTGAAATATAAAATTGTAAAATTATACAATTCAATTTATACTCCTCTTCCATTCTACCAGCTACACTATTCTAATGAAAGGAAGAGGATTATCTTTGTGTGATAAGCTCCTGTTTGTAATCGCACAGATTTCCCACTGCTCCCTCTCATGCCCAGAAAAATATGACGTATAAGACCAAAAGTCATTACCGTACTCTAGCATTGTGAATGGTAAATGATTAGATAGCAGTAGGACTGCAAAGGTGAAGTCCAGTTTTCAGCTTCTGCATGGAGTTCTTGATAGTTGATCACAAATGAGTTTGGGTTTAGCAGGACATCTGAAAACTGGTCACTTAGCACCACCTCCATTTTCTTTACAGGTTACTCATTCTGTCTGACATAGATGGTGCTTAACCTTGCTGTTGTATTCAGAACTAATCTTCAAATTCCATATCCCATCCATCACTAATTATTTCTGCAATATTGCTACTGAATCCAAAATCATAACTTCCATTATCTTTTAAGTTGAACATCTCCAGTGCTCACCTCACCATTCTTGTGAACTCTACACCACAAGTATGACCTTGTCTCAAGTTTCCTGTTCCACATCCTTTTTGATGCTCAGTTTGGAGATGAGATTATTCTTTTTTTGTCTGAGTTTTATGAGTATATGGAAGTTTTGTTCCCAGAAAGCACTGGAGCCAGGGTCATTGACTATTGTTGATGCAGAGGTAGATAGAAGTCTATCAAAGCAGTTAAGGGAGACTGGGAGTACCCAGAAAGTCAGTTGAGGTCATGATCTTCTTGAATGGCATTGAAGATTGAGGGGCCAAATGGCCTTGTGCTTCTCATTTGAGAGGTTATGTTTTTGTCCTCCAGCACTTTGGATTCAAATTGTCATTGGGAGGCATTCCCAGGACTTCTTTACTAATCCACATCTTTCTGTTATTGATGATGGAGCCCACAGTTGTCACAGCCTTACTTTCTCCCTAATTCCCTCCCAATTCCCCTATCTCGCACTGCCTCTTAAAGGCTGTTTCAAATCTTATCTACATAGTGACACTTCCAGCCACAGTCACCTCCTATGTGAGGTACCTTTTCTTTGTAGAGGAGATTATGTACATTCAGGTTGTTGTTTGTATCCTGTATTGTGCTCTTAGCTTTAGATGGCAACAATGAATATTGATCAATTCAGCATTGGAAGCACCACCCAAACAGAATTGCTTCAGTTTTACTCATGTTTAATTGCTAACAGTTGTAGCTCATCTAAACCTTAATGTCAGACTTTTAATTGTGACGAAGCAAACCACTGATGAAAGGAGAGGCAGACATATTGACAGGATGATGAATGAGCTTGAGGAAATCACATGGGATTCACCTGAAGGACTGGAATCTACTATTGTTTTTGGACCTTAAGGCCCAGACAATATACAACTCCTTCATTTTAAGGTTCAAACAATGGTGTAGCCTTCATGAATTATGTGATTATGTACACTAGTTTTGCATAAAATGGTAGGAAAAGATTTAGTAAATTTAAAGAAATGAAACAAATTATATGCAATTTCAGTACTCAAATTGAGTGCATGTAATAACATAAGCAGATAAATGCCTATTATCCTTACATATTATTCTTTATCCCTTTTTCCACAAAAACAGAAGATAATCATACCCGTGTGTCAATCTTACAACCCTGATGCCCTTAACAGCCACTTTTGTGCTAGATTGCCTCGTGGAGTTTTGTCTATCAAATGGAGTCAATTTCCCCATGAGTCACTCATGCACTACTTTAGAAGTTTTTCTCAAAATTGAAGATTGTGTGAATGATTTTGTGACTTGCTGTTTCTGTCTGAGAGTGAATCTCAAGAAACTGCAAGTACTCACCCCATGAATTTTCTGCTGTTTAACTCTGTTTAAAGAAAAGCATGAACTGCAGCTTATCACCCAAGTTGCAATGCTTACCTTTTCTCATTTAATTATTCTGTATTAAAGTTCTGTATATTTTCTGTCCTCTCATGGTCTGCTCACCTCAGCTGCAAGTAAGGAGTAGCTGACATTTTTTCATGTTTGAGACGCGAGTCTGTCGGACTAGGAGATGGACGAAAATTTGTAGATGTCCTTACCGTCAACTTGTCGAGATCAGTTATTTGACAATGTTGTGGTGTGGAGGCAGTGGTGAACTTGGTATATGTTCATTTCAAGCCCACGTAGACAGATGGTAATCCAGAAGCTCACATACAGACTATGTACACTTAAGTTATCCTTTCGGGTGGCCCTTCAAGTTACCCAATGTGCGGCACAGAAAAAAAAATTAAAGGGCTGCACACTTAAATAAACTGACAGAGCATTGCTGAACCACCACTCCAGTATGATGGTCCTGTTACCAGTCTGGTTCCTACTCTTCTGAGGTATTTGATTAGGAGGCTTTGATTCTCAGGAAACAATGAAATTAATTAAAAGTAACAAAAGTGGACAACCCACCACCTTGTCATTTAATTGCTAATAATGTCAAGTGAATAATAAATGTAATAACTTTACCTTTCAAGCAGTGGGCTTTTTTCCACACTTGAACAGACAAAAATTCAGGTGTTACAATTTTCATCAATTGATTGAATACCTTGTACATATTTTATGATATTATCACAATATTTAAAGAGACATCTCTCTCTGCTTTTGTGCTACATAATTGAATATAAATTTGCATAAAATGATACATTCTTGAAGAATGTCCAGTTCAAACATTGCGGTGTAATCCAAACGAAATGCAAATGGATAAATGCAGAAAACAAAATTACAACACCACAACAAGTTATCAAATTGGATAATATATTGAGGATTCATATTGCCAAATAAGGGATTGAGTGATACTTCAGTCACACTTTAGAATTACATCAGATATGGCTAGCTCATCACAGTTCTGTCACTGGGGGAGAATTCTATGCCACAGAGGTTATTCTGGTGAACTGACCTCCATGTCCTAACTGTGAACTAACAATTTCCTCTGTTATAAAAACACCCATGAGTTTTCTATTGCCTCAATTTTAAGTTTGAAGCGGGACAGCCAACTGCATCTGCAGACTCCTTGACTGAACGCAATCATATTACAGCAGCAAATATCATTATTTTGATCCAGATCATAGCAATTGCTTTTTCAGTCTTGTCAACCTCAACCTGAAACAAGTGGTAAAAAACATTTACCTGACACAAGTGCCAGCAAAGACAATCTCCAACAAGAGATGATCAAACCACTGTTCCTTGACAATAGATGGCATCACTGAATCTTGCACTATCAACAGCTCAGTCCATTACCATTGACTAGAAATTGATCTGGAAAAAGCATATAAATACTGTGGCAAAAAGGGCAGGTCAGAGACTGGGAATTCTGTAACAGGTATCTCATTTTCTGATTCCTTAAAGACTGTCTACTGTCTAAAAGCAGTAAGTCAGGAGTGTAATGGAATGCTCCCACTTGCCTGGATAACTGTAGTTCCAAAGGCTTATAAGTAGCAAAGTAGACCATTTGATTGGTAGCCCCTCTACTGCACTAAACAATTATTATTTCCATCGCCAACCATACTAAGAGCTGTGTGCATCTTAAGCAAGATGTATTGCAACTTAACAAGCCTTCTTTGACAGCACCTTCCGAACCTATGAACTTTGCCAACTAGAAATATGCCAAAAATGAAGGTCCTTAAATTGTTAATTAATGAGCACTTAAGGACTTCAACTCACCTACATCCCAATTACCTGAAAAGTAACTGGTTTCCTGGCTTCGTGGTAGTGTCCCTACCCCTGGACTGTGAAGCCAGTTTTCAAATCCCACCTGCTGCAGAGTTGTGTAATCACAACTCTGAACAGGTTGAATAGGAAAATAGGTAGAAACCAGGGTGATGGTGGTTACTAGTTTAAAAAAAATGCAAAGGAAAAACATCACAGGTGATTTTGGTGGTGGTCACTCAAACAAAATAGAAACCAGTGTCAGGGCACTCTTGTGGCGCAATGGTAGTGTCCCTACCCATGAACTAGGAGACCCAGGTTCAAGTCACACCAGCTCCAGAGGTGTGTAATAACATCTCAGCAGAAAAATAATTTGAATTTTAAAAATGTAAAGAAAATTACAAACTAGGCTGATGGTGGTTACTAATATGAATTTAAAAAAAGTGACCTTGGTGATTGGAAGATTGCTGAAAAAAATAGAAACCAGGATGTGAGGCCCTCTTGTGGTGCAATGGTAATATCCTTACCCCTAGAACAGGAAGCCAGATTAAGTTCCAGTCTGCTCCACATGTGTGTAATAACATCTCTGAGCAGCTTGATTAGAAAAATAAGGTAAATTTTAAAAAAAATTCAAAGTCAGAATGACTTGGCTGCCAGGTTGTGGACTGTGTCCGTTTGCCCTCGTCTAGAAACATTTGGAGGCAGAGATGGAGGCAAAGGTATGTGTAGTTTGGTCTTGGTGCAGAGGACCTAGTTGCTTGGTTTCACATCTTTGTTTACAGCCATTTAACATCTCTTTTTCTGCAACATTAACAGCCCTTTATTTTTTGCACTGGACTTCCGCCTGTGTCTAAAATACAATAAAAACTTTTTCCGGTACACCTTCAATTCTGATGAGTCATATTGGTCTTGACGTTCACTCTGTTTCTCTCTCCACAGATGTGGCCAGACCTGCTGAGTTTCTCCAGTACTTTGTGTTTGTTTCACATTCTCATTGGTTGGCACAGTGCCGATAAACATGCGCAAGCCCACTCTTAGGCTACAAAAAGAAAAATATTGGCTGAAATTTGGTGTTCCTTTGCTGTCACTATGTCAAAATCCTGAAACTCCCTTTCTAACAGCATTGTGGCTGTGCCTGCACCCTATGGACTGCAGCAGTTCAAGAAGCCAACTCAACAACAACTTCTCCAAAGCAACTATGGTCTAATGATGAGTGCTGATTTAGCCAACGATTTTCTCATCCTTTGAAAGAATCAAGAAATAAATTTGTTTCGGGAAATTCAACTGAGATCTGTAGTTGTCAAGAGCCCTTTTTAGAAATAATGCTGACTTGATGCGATTGTTTTCTTCAGCGACACAGCTGATTATTTTGATGCTATGCTATGATTTACTCCAAGGTCCTATTGATTTTAAACACTTTCTCTGCACTATTCACCTCATGGCAGAACACTACACCATCTCATTGTCCCTAACTAACTCAATAGGAAATGACATGTATTTGAGTGGTCTCAGTCCAATTACTTCTAGACAAGTATAATCATTTCATGGAATCCCTGCAGTGTGGAAGCTAGCCATTTGGCCCATCGAGTCCATACCGACTTTCCAAAGAGCATCCCACCCGGACACACTCCCTCCCTATCCGCATAATGCCGCATTTCCCATGGCTAATCCATTTAATCTACACATCCCGGGACACCACAGGACAATTTACTGGTGTCCAGAACTTGTCGGTCTTCATCTGGTCCCGTGTGTGCACAGAATTGCTAATGGTGGGTGGGGGGGATGGTGCTCAAATGTTCCCTTTTGCAAAGGCAGATAAGCACAGTTTGTTTCAGTGGGCCTGCTGTCCATCCACTGAGTATGATGATATATGCAAAGGTATGTACCAACAGTGAAGTAGATTATGAGAAAGTAGGTTAGGAGCTTGGTTTTGAAGAGAACAGTGTGATCCGGTGGGCAGACCTGCAGCTAGCTACTCCTTCAGCATCCCTAACTGCTGAGAAGGAGGGCCACAGACCACACAATCTTGAAGCAGGCCAGTGGTCTGCCTTTCAGAAGTGGGAATTTTGACTTGGCAATGCCGCAGCCGAGGGCACTGTGGGCAGTGCCAAGGGCAGGTAACTGAGAAGGGGAGTAAACTTTAAACAAAACTTCATTTGGAAGAGGGTAAACAGAATCACCAAATATGGATTTTCAAAACAAATTCCTGATCACAAGGTCATTGCAGTTTGATTGTATGTAAACAGAAACTTGGATAATTTAAAAGATGAATTTTTTATTTGATGTTCTCACAGTGATGCAAAATTCGCTGAAAATATGCACCTCAATAATGGTGCATCTATAGTGCACCCCCTTGATATAGTTCAGAGGTTCCAGGAAAGTATAGCATAGGTGGTATCTGCCTTTACGTACACCACACCATCATTTGCTGGCATTTTTGCACTGCTCCACGAACACTTCTCACAAAACGGTTGGACAGAACAATTTATCAAAGCCTCCACCCACCATCAATCTGGGTTGTGGTTATGTATGCTGAATTAATACCACTGTCATTGCCTCAGCTACTAAGAATAGTGCAGGATGGTGCTGAATGAATGGGAAAGTTTTCATAATACAAAAAACAAAACACTGTGGATGCTGCAAATCTGAAAGAAACAGAGAATGATGGCGAAATTCAGCAGGCTTGGTAGCATTTGTGGAGAGAGAAACAGAATTGTATATTTTAAGTCCGTTTTGACACTTCAGAAAGAATCAGAATGGCTTTCACTTGCCCTGCTGGATGACCATCAAAAATGGCAATGTAATATTACCTTTTGGCACAGTGGTTCCATGGTTAGCATTGCTGCCTCATAGTGCCAGAGACCCAGGTTCAATTCCATCCTTGGGTGACTTTATGTGTGGGGTTTGTGCATTTTCCCTGTGTCTGCATGGATTTCCTCCCACAGTCTAAAGGTGTGCAGGTTAGATGGATTGCCCATGCTACATTATCCTTCAGTGCCCGGGGTTGTGCAGATTAGGTGGATTAGCCATGGTAAGTGCAGGGTTAAGGAATAGGTTTGGGGCTAGGTCTGGGTGGGTTGCTGTTTGGAGGTTTGGTGTAGACCTGGGGGGCTGAATGGCCTCTTCTGCACTGTATGGATTCTAGGATTCTATGATTCTATTCTGTAGTTCTAATGATGCAGCTTTTTGATCATAATCTTAATCAGACAATAGTACATGCCAGGCAGCACCACACTAAGGAGTAATTCATGATCTTTAAGTTTTATGTTATCTCAGTCTTCAAGGAGCCTTTGAGGTAATTGACATGATATGATGTGATTGCTAATGTTATATAACTTTTATGATGTTATACTTAGATTTGTGTTATGGGAGCTAACCTGGTTTATGTATTACTGAAGTACTGCTATCTACATACATACATTTATAATCACAGACACTTATCTGTCTGGGCTCAAAGCTAAGCAATTTGGATGTATTTTAGTACACCTCCCTCAATGTGACATGTTGCAAGAACATTCAGTCAGATGGAAACTGAGGCTTTTATATTATTAGGTCACGTACCATGATACGGTGTTGACATCATGAGAATGTCAATCTTAAAGAAGCTGTTGAGGTATGAACTTTTACTGATGTGTTGTTAGGAACTTAATTTTAACCTTGAACCTTCATTTTGAGACTGTGTGTGTTGACAGCCAGGTGATTTCCCAGTCGGTTGTGCTAATTTTGTTTTTGATTTGTTTATGGGATGTTGGCATCACTGGCTGGGCTAGACCAGCATTTATTGCCCATCCTTAATTGCCCAGAGGACAGTTAAGAGTCAACCACATTGCTGTGGCTCTGAAGTCACAGGTAAGCCAGACCAAGTGGGCATAGCATATTTCCTTCCCTAAAGGACATGAGTGAGTAGCTGGGTTTTTACAACAATTGATAGTGGTTGCATGCTTGCTATTAGGCTAGGTTTTTAGTTCAGGTTTATGTTGAATACAAATTTTACCACCTGTCATGTGGGATTCAAACTCATGTCCCCAGAACATTATCCTGAGGTTCTGAATGGCGAGTTCAGTGACATCGCTTTAACGTTTATTGAGTTCATAGTATTACTGTTAGCAGCTCAGGATTGATCATAATGCTGAGGACTATTATTAAATAACAAACTGAAAAGGCAATGATCATAAATCAATATTCAGAATTAAAAACTGTTAATGATACCAGAGCACAACATGCATGTTAAATAATTTGTTTTGTGTCCAGCCTTGACATCTTGGACAATGGCTACTCCCCTTGTGGCTTACTCCTTTGCTATCAGAAGCGTATTCTCATCAGGTTTAAAGTGAATTCTGGTGTTAAATTGGTACTAGAAGTTCAGGCAACACAAGTTATTTGTTGCCAGTTTCAATATTGTAGCAAATTTTCTACCTCAATTGAGCACAAGCCCACATTGTGTGCTTCTTTCAGTTCAGTTGATTCAGCTAACTTAGTCAAACTAGTCACCAGATATGATTTAAAAGCTCATAGTTTTACATAAAATGAAAAATTCAGTGACCATCACCTTCTTGCAGTGAGAAGATGTTGACCAGATGAAAAATTGATTTTTTTTCTTTCTTCTCATATTAACCATATTGAAATATGTGCAGACCTTTTTAGTTATGTGCTAAAACCTTTAGATGCAGTATGTAACAAGCCTTCCTCAAAAGAATTAAAATTTTCCAAATCACAAATTCTAAAAAAATTTTTAAAGACGTGCAACAAATTCAAAAGTATGAGGCATAACAGTGGATATATTTATACATTTCGATACATTGTTATACCCTTCCGAAGGGCAATTAAGAATGATAACAAATGTTGATGTTCAGTGACACTCGATCCCATGAACAAATAGAAGAAATTATATTGAAGCAAAAGTTTTCAGTTCAATAAACACTTGAAATCTTTATTCTATATCTTTTCTTTCTACCGATCTGGTTTTGTCTCAATCAGTGGGAAAGTGATGACTCTGCTGAACATGTGAGTAAAGCATGATCAGGCAACTTACAAACATGTGTCTGTAGTCAACTCTCAGTGTCTTCACACAATGTCTTCTTGCAATTTTTTCCTTTTGTGAGAACTTATTTTTGTTGGTGTGCTGCACTGCACTGCATGCACTAACTGGTTTTCAAGACTTTTTATAAGCTTTATTTTGTACTAACTCAGCTGTTTACTCTTTTGAAGTGAGCACCTTGCACGGAATTAAACACTACTTGTTCATTTGGAAATGATGCCTCAAGAATTACCCTGTGGATTTTAATTTTTGGGATTAAGTCACTGGATTGATATGTATTTAAACAAAAGCACTCATTGCGCTGCGGCAACTTTTCAATAGCAGCTTTTAAACACACGATTCCTACCACCTAGTAAGACAAGGGCTGCAAATGCATGGGAATACAATCATTGGCAAGTTGCCCTCCACGCCACTCATCATCCTAACTTGGAAATATTTCACTGTTCCTTCAGTGTAGTTGGGTCAAAATCCTGGAATTTCCTTCCTAACAGCATTGTAGGTACATCAACACCACATGAACTGCAGTGGTTTAAGAAGGCAGCTCACCACCACCTTCCCAAGAGCAAATAGGGTTGGGAAATAAATGCTGACTGTGTGAATGATGGTCACATCCTGTGGATATTGCAAAACTAAAACTGCCACGATATTTAGAAAAATATTATGCAATCTTTTCACTGGTATCAGAGAAAGGTGTATTTTGCGCCTCGTGCATTTTTTTATTTGCAGAGACTTAAACATCATGAAGCATAGAAGATAGGAGCAGGAGGAGGCCATTCGGCCCCTCGATCCTGTTCCGCCATTCATCACGATCACGGCTGATCATCCAACTCAATTGCCCAATCCTGCTTTCTCCCCATAACCTTTGATCCCATTCACTGAAGTGCTATATCAAGCTGCCTCAATACATTCAATGTTTTGGCATCAACTGCTTCCTGTGGTAATGAATTCCACAGGCACACCACTCTTTAGGTAAAGAAATGTCTCCTTATTTCTGTCCTAAGTGGTCTACCCTGAATCCTCAGACTGTGACCCCTGGTTCTGGATACACCCACCATCAGGAACATCCTCTCTGCATCTACTCTGTCTAGTCCTGTTAGAATTTTATAAGTCTCTATGAGATTCCCCCTCATTCGTCTGATGCTTTTCTTAGACATTGGCAGATCTCTTTGGAATACATCAGTTGCCTCTGATTTAACACATGCTCACAGACTCCATTGGAAAATTGCAGTGTGTGCAAAATGTCAGCTTCATTGAGTGTTTTCAAGGATATGTATTATGAATAGTCATTGGTTACATTTTTGAACATCCATATTTTCTTGTTCTCACCAGCAAATATTATAACTGCTTTCCACCAGGTCCTGCACAGCAGAAGTGTTCTGATCTCATAACTACATCAGACCTGCTCTTCTTGGGGCAAAAAATGCAACACCTGAAAAGATAGGATTCAAAGCTATCTTTAAATGAAATGCTGTGTCATTTCACCTTGGCTTGTGAATCTCTGCCCATGCAGGTGCAGCAATTCCCAAGAAGGAAATTATGTTGTGATTTATTCATAACAGTTTTCAGGTTTTTATTTGGAATAGCTTGCTCATGATCAGAAACCCATAGTTTTTGAGTAGGATTGACTTGTGGTCAGAGTTGTGAAGAAATACAGTTTAAACAAGTTTCAACACCTGTTCTTTTGTTCATTTGATTTTTGACCACTTCTCAAACTTTACAATTGTGTTAGTTAGTTACGCAACTGAGTGCTCGTTGCAGAACTGGCTGGTTGCTAGGTATCGTTGATGGCTTGACACTTTTGGAAGGAAGGTATCCTGGATACATTTTGATTTCAACTTTGAGCAGTAATCTGGTGTAGTACATTGTCTGCCCTTCATTGAATATGGAAAACTTCTTATTCCATTTAAATCAATACTTTTTTTTCATAAAGGGCAGAAGATCCACTCCTCCAAATTGCTGACCAAATCTACTTCAATTAATTATGATTGGATCTGCTCTTCTACAGTACTGTCCAGATCCTCTGCAGCTAATCATATTAACAAGGACCAAGAGTAAGCTATTCGACCTTTCGAACCTGCTCTGCCATTCAATAATATCACGGCTGATCTGATTGGAACCTCAAAATCTACATTCCTGCATATCCCCAATAATTTTTTACTTCCACGGTAATCAATAATCTATCAGTATCTTAATGATCCTTAAAGATTTATACATGCACTGCATTTGGAGGAAGGGAATTCCAAAATCTCAATCCTCTCAGAGAAAGCACTTTTTTTCCTTTCTGTCTTCAACAGGTGACCTCTAGTTTTTAAACTGTGACACATAGTACTAGATTCTCCCACAAGAGGAAACATCCTTTCAGCATCCACCTGGTCAAGTCCCCTCAGGATCTTATATATTTCAATTAAGTCACTTCTGACTCTTCTAACTCCAAAAGATAGAGGCCTAGCTTTTTCTCATAAGGCAACCTGGTCATTCCTTTCTTTGAACTTTCTCTGAACTGCTTCCAAAACATTAATACCTCTTGTTAGTACATAGTACTCCAGGTACAGTTTCAGCAATGCCCTGTATAACTGCAGCATAACCTCCCTTCTCTTGCATTCAATTTCCATCGTAATTAGCCATAACATTCTATTAGTTTTCCTGGTTACTTGCTGTACCTGCATACTAACCTTTTATGCTTCATGTGCTCGGACACCCACATCTCTTTGCATTTCAGGGCTTTGTAACCTTTCAGCATTTAGCTAATATGCTTTTTTATTCTTTCTGCCAAAATGAACAATTTCATATTTTTCACCATTGGCTCCACCCTGCCTGATTACTGATTGGATTTGCTCCAGCACTTTACAGTGCAGATCCTCATCAACTGATCACCACCCAGATCCTCCCTGACTAATCACCATCCAGATCCCCTCTGATTGCAGATTGGATTTGCTGCACATTGCTGCAGATCCTCTTGGACTGATCATCTCCCTGATCTACTCCAATTGATCATTGTCCAGGTTAACCCTAAACTACAGCTAATTGGTCAAGTCAAGGATTAGGGGTATGGGGGCAGCGGGGTTTGGCGGTGGGGGTGGATAGATGGGTAGTTGGCATACAGTCATACAGGGTTTGTGAGTGAATGCAGGTGGAGAGGAGATCAGAGTAACTGCATGAGTGATGTTAGTCTAAGTTTTAATCTGCCAACATTTATTTGGTATCTATCCAGATAAATACATATGAACTGTACAAAAGTCTCCAACGCTGACTCACAGTTGGATAAATTTGTGGAGGTTTCCTGATAAGCAGGAGAATCACCCATCGGAAGTTCAAACCATGCAGATCAGGGCTTTTACAGAATTCTGTTGTGCTTCACAGTCTTATGTCTGATCTCTGAAAAAAGGCAATTGAAGTTTTGGCCCCAGAAGTCTCCATCTGTATTTCTATTTAGGCAGCAAATAGATAAGACAAGTTACAATAAATCCTGCCTTTGTCACTTGTTCTCCTGAAGGGTACGAAAACTAAAGATAATTGATTTCACAACTGCACGAACAAAGCCTATTAACCCTGCATAAGAGCTTTGGTATCAAAATGTAAAATGTTGTGTGTTGCCACAGTACTATGAATTAAAAATGTTATGCAAAACAAAGAAATATGTGTATCTCTTAAAAACTGACAGCATTTGATACTTGAAAGGTTAATACATGTTTAATATTAACACACAATAGCATCCAATAAATGTCCTCTTGTTATTCAGAGACCTGAATTAATGATGGTCTAAAATTGTGGAAGAGACTCTCATTGTGTTTATTGCTTTGTATTTTTGCCGTTTTTCCATACAGGAGATGATCATTTCTGGACTTCTGCCTGAAACGACATACTCTGTCACTGTGACAGCTTATACGACAAAAGGAGATGGAGCTCGAAGCAGAGCCAAGCTTGTGGCAACCACTGGTGCAGGCAAGTGATTTGTGAAGACTATTATTGAGTTTCAGGCATTATGTTCATAAACAGGCATCACTGGCTGGCTTTTCCTGGCCCAAGAACAGTTGTCATCTGTTCTTGATTGGGCCAGTTAACCAACTTAACAAAAATGGACTCAGTGAACCCACCCAAGTAAATTAACACCTTGCATTTCAACATGATGTGTGCAATCCTGAGACAGTAGTTAACAAACACTGGCCTTAGCTATACGTCTCAAACCTTTATTGGAAAAACGAGGAAATGAAATGCTGTGCAAATCATAAAAATAAACACTTCCTTCACAAAATTTACATGTGACTCATTTCTCTATATGAAGTTATGTTACTTGTTGAAACCTTTTGTTTTCTCAGAGGTGGAGACCTTCCATCTTTGTTACTGCATCTGTCATGTTCTCCACACAGACACACCTTGGCTGTGGAGGTTGTGGTTGAAGAATACTGGTGAGCAGAGAGAAGAAAAGAATTGAGCTAAGGTCTACTGAATTAGTCCTGCAAAGCAGAAAAAGTGATCCAGGACAAGTAGCAGAATAATCTCAAAAGAGTGTAACTATCCCAATAAACAGAAATAAACCTGTCTCTCAGACTACTGATTCCCACTAGCCCCTCACTGTATTTTTCTCCACAAATTTGTGCAAAGAAAACACCTAAATTTAAAAATAGGGTTCTTCAGTTGTGATAATAGATTGAAAAAGTTGTCACTGTTCTCCTTGGAGAAAAGAAGGCTGAGAGAAGAAGTTTTTATCATCATGAGCAAGGTGATAGAACAGATAGGGAGAAGCTGTTCCTGCTCCTAAGCGTGGGCAGGTATTTGAAATGATGTGCAAAAGAAGCAAGGGTAATGTGAGAAAAATCTTTTTCACATAGGAAGTAGTTAATATATGGAATGCACTGCCTGGAATTGTGTTGTAGACAGGTTTCATTGAGGCATTCGATGGTTATTTGGATAGAAATAATGGCCACATATCCTTAGACAAATCAGGATATTGCCATTTTGTAGTGACGCTAATTTGAAGAGCTGGTGCAGGCACTATGGGCCAAGTAGAACTGCTTTCTGCACACTGATAATTGGAGTCATAGCCATGTACAGTATGGAACCAGGCCCTTCGGTCCGACTTGTCCATACCAACAAGATATCCTCGATAAATCTCATCCCATTTGTCAGCATTTGGTCCATATCCCTCTAAACCCTTGCTATTCATATACGCATTCAGATGCCTTTTAAATGTTGTAGTTGTATCAGCCTCCACCATTTGGCAGCTCATTGCATACACGCACCACCCTCTGCGTGAAAAAGTTGCCCTTTAGGGCCCTTTTAAATATTCCTCCTCTCACATTAAACCTATGTCCTCTAGTTTTTTGACTCCCCCATGCCGGGGAAAAGGCCTTGTCTATTTACCCTATCCATGATTTTATAAACTGCTATAAGGTCACCCCTCAGTCTCCAGGGAAAATAGCCCCAGCCTACTCAGTCTCTCCCGATAGCTCAAACCCTCCAACCTGGCAACATCCTTGTAAATCTTTTCTGAACCCTTTCAAGTTTCACAACATCCTTCTTTTAGCAGAAGACCGGAATTGCATACATTATCCCAATAGTGGCCTAACCAATGTTCTGTAGAGATGCAACATGATCACCCAACTCCTATACTCAGTGCACTGACCAATAAAGGCAAGCCTACCACATGCCTTCTTTACTGTCCCATCTATCTGTGACTGCACTTTCGTGGAACTGTGAACCTGCAGTCCAAGGTCTTTGTTCAGCAACACTCCCCAGGATCTTACCATTAAGTGTATGACTCCTGCCCTTTTTGCCTTTCCACGTTGCAGCACCTCACATTTATCTAAATTAAACTCCATCTGCCACTCCTCAGCCCTTTGGCCCATCTGATCAAGATTCCGTTGTATTCTGAGGGAACCTCTTTTGCTGTCTGCTACACCTCCAATGTTGGTGTCATCTGCAAACTCGCTAACCATACCTCCTATGTTCACATCCAAATTATTTATATAAATGACGAGAAGCAGTGGACCCAGCACCAAGTCTTGTGGCATACCACCGGTCACAGACCTCCAGTCTGAAAAGCAATCCTCCACTGCCACCCTCTCTCTTCTACCTTCAAGCCAGTTCTGTATCCAAATAGCTAGTTCTTCGTGTAGTCCATGTCATCTAACCTTGCTAACTAGTTTACCATGAGGACCTTGAGGAATGCCTTACTGAAGTCCATATAGATCACATCCACTGCTCTTCCCTCATCTGTCTCCTTCACTGCTACTTCAAAACACTCAATCAAGTTAGTAAGGCATGATTTCCCACACACAAAGCCATGTTGACTGTCCCTAATCAGTTCTTGCTTTTCCAAATACATGAAAATCCTGTCTTTCCGGATTCCCTCCAACAACTTGCCCATCATCGATGTCAGGCTCATTGGTCTATAGTTCCCTGGCTTTTCCTTACTACCTTTCTTAAATCGTGGCACCACGTTAGCCAACCTCCAGCCTTCCGGCACCTCACCTGTGGCTATTGATGATACAAATATCTCAACATGGGACCCAGCAATCACTTCCCTTGCTTCCTACTGAGTTCTAGGATAAACTTGATCAGGTCCTAGGGATTTATCCACCTTTAAGCGTTTTAAGCCATCCAGCAGCACCACCTCTGTAATGTGGAATTTCTTTTCTGAGGAAGGATGCTCTTGCTGTTGAGGAAGTGCAACAAATGTTTATCAGGCTGATTCCGAGAATGGCTGATCTGACGTATGAGGAGAGATTGACTAGATTAGGATTGTTTTCGCTGGAGTTCAGACAAATTATGGGTGGTGGTGGTGGTGGGGATGGGGAGCGGTGGCGGGGAGGGTTGGGGAGGTGGTGGTGGAGGGGTGTGTGGTGGGGGGATGGTGGAATCTCATAGAGACTTATAAAATTCTAATAGGACTGGACAGGGTAGATGCAGGGAGGATGTTCCCGATGGTGGATGTGTCCAGAACCAGGGGTCACAGTATGAGGATTCAGGACAGACAATTTCGGACGGAGATGAGGAGACATTTCTTCACCCAAGGAGTGGTGAGCCTGTGGAAGTCATTACCACAGGAAGTAGTTGATGCCAAAACATTGAATGTATTCAGTAGGTGACTAGATATAGCACTTGGGGCGAATGGGATCAAAGGTAATGGGGAGAAAGCAGGATTAGACTATTGAGTTGGATGATCAGCCATGATCGTGATGAATGGCCTCCTTCTGCTCCTATCTTCTATGATTTCAAGATGTCACTTTCTGTTGCCCCACATTCTATACCTTGCATATCTATCCTTCTCCACAGTAAACACTGATGCAAAATACTTGTTTAGTATCTTCCCCATCTCCTGTGGTTCCACACATAGGCGGCCTAGCTGATCTTTAAGGGGCCCTATTGTCTCCCTAGTTACCCTTTTGTCGTTAATGAAATTATAAAATCCCTTTGGATTCTCCTTAACGCTATTTACCAAAGCTATCTCATGTCCCCATTTTGTCCTCCTGATTTCCCTTTTTTAAGTATACTCCTATTGCCTTTATACTCTTTACTCGATCTCTGCTGTTTATACCTGACATATGCTTCCTTCCTTCACACTAACAGGAACATACTGCCCCTGGACTCTGGTTATCTCACTTTTTAAGGCTTCCCCTTTTCCAGCCATCCATTTACCTGCAATCATCCGCACCCCCAATCAACTTTTGAAAGTTTTTGCCTAATACCGTCAATATTGGCCTTCCTCCAATTTAGGACTTCAACATTTCGATCCTATCTATCCTTTTCCATCACTATTTTAAAACGAATATAATTAAGGTCGCTGGCCCCAAGTGCTCCCTCACTGACACCTCAGTCACCTGCCCTGCCTGATTTCCCTACAGTAGGTCAAGTTTTGTACCTTCTCCAGTAAGTACATGCAAGTACTGAATTGGAAAATTATCTTGTACACACTTAAAAAAAGATTCCTGTCCATCCGTGCCTTTAACACGATGGCAGTCTCAGTCTGTGTTTGGAAAGTTGAAATCCTCTACCGTAACCACATTATTATTCTTACAGATAGCGGAGGTGTCCTCACAAATTTGTTTTTACATTTCCTGCTGACTACTGGGGGGTCTTTGGTATAATCTCAATAAGGTGATCATCCCTTTCTTCTTTCTCACTTCCACCCAAATAACTTCCCTGAATGCATTCCCAGGAGTATCCTCCCTAAGTACAGTCATAATGTTAGCCCTATCAAAATCTCCACTACCCCTCCTCGCTTGCCCTCCCTTTCTATCCTTTCTATAGCATCTATACCCTGGAACATTAAGCTGCCAGTCCTGTTCAGCCCAGAGCCACGTCTCAATAATTGCTATGATGTCCTAGTTCTATGTTTCTAGCCGTGCCCTGAGTTCATCTGCCTTACCTGTTAGACCTCTTGCATTGAAATAAATCCAGTTTAATTTATCAGTCCTACCTCGTTCTCTGCATTTTTCCTGCCTGCTCTGATTGTTTGACGTGCTCCTTTTTTCCACCTGCACCAGCCTCAGACTGATTTTCCTTCGCTATCTCCCTGAGTGTCCCCCCACCTCCTCCTTACTAGTTTAAATCCTCCTGAGCAGCTCGAGCAAATCTCCCTGCCACTATATTAGTCCCCTTCCAATTCAGGTGCAATCCATCCTTCTTATACAGGTCACGTCTACCCCAGAAGAGATTCCAGTGATCCAAAAATGTGATTCTTCCTCCCCTGCACCAGCTGCTCAGCCGCACATTCATCTGCTCCATTCTCCAATTCCTCCCCTTACTAGCTCATAACACCGGGAGTAATCCAGATATCACTATCCTCGAGGACCTCCTTTTCAAATTCCTGCCTAACTTCCTATATTCTCTCCTCAGAATCTCATCCTTTTCTCTTCCCATTGTCATTAGTTCCAATATCTATCTTCCATAGTTCCAATGGGAATCTTACAGAAGTGTATAAGATCATGAGAGGGATGGAT